TGAAGGACAGGAAGGCCTGGCACAATATGGTTCATGGGGTCACGAAGAGTCGGACACGACTTAACGACTAAACAACAACAACAACCAGATTAGTGAAATGTTCATTCTGTTATATAATTGCTTGATGGTGTGAGACAGGCATAAGAATTTGGAGTTATTTGAATGCTTTTCTTCGTAGATATAGAATTGCTTTCTGAACTTGTTATGCTTGTTTTTCTTTTGCTTCCACAGATGATCCAATATCCTTTGAGGATGAGACTTCCAAGAAGGAAACGAAGAAGGAGGAGTTGGGGGGGGGGATTCCAGTGAGGATTGTTTTGCTCAGTGTTTCGGCCAACTAAACTACAGGGGGTTTTTTTCCAGATAGTTAATACTATATGTTGTCTGCCCCTGCCTGCTCCCAATTCCAATTTTCAATCCCTTCAATTCAGCAACCACAGAATTTGCTTAGTCCTCAAACATATATGGTTGTTCTTATTTTGTCCTTACATTTCCACAATCCTTGGAATTTCATTTAGCATACCAGTACTTCCCCTTTGTTTCTCAAAAGCTATATTTTGGCACATCACCAATGACTGATGCATCCTGTCTTTAGTTCATTTTTGTTATATTTCAATATTCAGCATGCAGATATGCTGTTGTGACACTTCATTGTTCATTGATAATTTCCCGTATATACACATTTGTGTATATGTGTAGTATGCTGTAAAGGACAAAAGTCCTTTCCTTGTTCTTTTGAAATTTGAGCTAGCAATGACATTTGATGCCTTGGCTGAAGGATTTGGCCTCAAATGTTCTCTCCCTCCTATCAGATGATTTTCATAGTGCTCTGCTGAAATGTTGCCTCTTATTTAAGAAAGATGGAGAATGCAACATGACACCAGTGCTAAATGCACCTTCCATAGTCTCTAGAGTACTTAAATGCCTGCCCACCTCCCATGTGCCAAATGGAGGGAATGATAAAGAATTAGTGATTTTTAATACTTTTTCTCAGTACTGTATTTAAATTCTGCTTCAAAAACTTCTGGTGCTAAACTTTCAAAGCTACAATTGTTTTTGTTTTGATTGATTCCCACTGAAATCATCAAAGGCATTATTTTTGGTAATTACAATTTCTATAGCATATATAATCAACAATAATTAGAGGTAGATAGCAATGAAGTAGTAAGAAGAATATAGATACAAATAAGGAGTGCTCACCTTGATGATACCAATATTGTCCAGTATATATTCCAATATCTATGTATCCTTCTGTTGGGTCATTTCATGCTGGAAAAAAAAATCCATTTTTTCCCTCAAAAACCTGCCTTTATTTGCACCATCATTAAAAATGTCTGGATATTATTTCACATTTCTGGAAGGTGGTCTTTTTGCTATGTTCTTCTTGGTGAGTGTTTTCCCTACACCTACAAGGCCTCCTGATATCAGTAAGACACTCAGTCAGAAAAGCATAAGAAAATAAGGTAGCCTTGCTAGATGAAACCAAAAGCTGATGTAGCTCAGTCCCCATTGGCCACTGGGACACTAACAAACATGGACAGGGAGGCAAAAGAATGCTTCTGCCAGTGCTAGCCAGCAACTGATATTTCATGCTGCCTGTGATTCAGGAGGTTGTATAGCTCCATAAAGATTAGCAAATATTGATGGCTTGTTCATCCATGAATCGTTTTGTTTCTTTAGTGGTAATCAGCACCACCCCGAAACAGCAAATTTCATAGTTCAACTAAGTAAAAGAAGGGCTTCTTTTAGTTGATCCAGAATCCTTTCTAGGTATGTGAACTCAGAGCTACCAGATTTGGGATGGAAAAATACAGATAACTACTAGATAGCAGAAAAGATATATAGAAATCTCTTAACTCTTCCCTCCCATCTAATTGTTGGCTGGATCTTTGTAGCCCACATTTTGATCACTCTATTGCAGTGATTCTCAACCACAGCAACTTTAAGATGCACAGACTTCAGCTCTAAGAATTCCCCAGCCAGCCTGCTAGTCATACTGTTTATTGACTCTTTCTTTGGCTCACTTTTTTTAATTATCATGATTCTATTTCTCTTACCCTAAGATCAGCACAGCTGTGAACATGGACATTTATTCTGGGACCTAAATATGCATCAAGGTGCTTTATCTAAGGAGTGATGCACATTTAAGTCTAGAATCAGTGTTTACAGATTTATTTCCCAGTTTGCATTTATTGAGATTTCCCTTATCAAAGTACAGAAAGAAGCCTCTTGTTTCTAAGGAGAAGCTTGGAATGTATGCAAGACATAGCGATGGGTGATCTCCCACTGACAGGGGAATGACAAAGATTTTTAGTTGTCAAAAGTGCTAGCGATTAAAAGCAGAACACTATTGGTCAGAAAAAGAAAATAATCTGTGGTATTAATCAGGAGGCAAGTGAAGACTCTGCTGATTTCTTAGCTACTGATATGACTTGACAAGAAGGATTACAAATTCTGATTATTTCAGATCAATTCATACTGGAAGAAAATTATATTACTGAATGAAAGATATAAAGAGAGGAGGAATGGAAGAATTAGGCTTCCATTAAGTAACATTCCACACAGTGTTCATACTGGACCTACAGTGACACTCTCAAGTGATCTGCATTCCTGAATGGTGAAAGTGGAACAGCCATTTCATTAGATATTATATGAGGTCCTAAAATTTTCTAACAGTTTCATGAAAGCCAAAATAATATTTTCAGCATTGGTTACTGGAAAATCCCCTTTTCATTTCAGCTGAGCTCTACTGAATGCAAAAAGAACCCCGCGCTTGAAAAGCGGGGGGGGGGGGGGGGTTTTT